GTGGGAGGAAGCCGGAGTACCCGGAGAGAACCCACACATGCACGGAGAGAACATGCAAACTCTACCCAGAAAGGTCCCCGGACCGGGATTTGAACCAGTGACCTTCTTGCTGAGAGACATCAGCTCTACCAACTGAGCCACCGTACCGCCTAGAAATGACTAAAACTGACTAAAACTAAGAAGTGTTTTTGTTCAAAAGACTAAATGGAAATCAAAAACAAGACTTCTGGCAGCAGAGGTCAGGTGGGCTTGTGTCAGCTGCTGCTAGCAGTACGAGCACCAAGGACTGAGCTGAGCGTAGTTTTAATGTTGCTGGGAGACTGACAGGAGAGGCATTCCACCTTAAATCCTGAAGATGTAGAAGTATTTCTGTTCCYACATCACAACATTAAAGTTTCTGTACACATTACACAAGAACCTGTTAGATGAACACGATTCTGGTGGTTAGCACTAATTTTTGGGCAATGTTTTCATGCAAATGCACAAATGTTCAAATACATGTTGAAGAACTGATATGGCAGCTGTATTTTTATTTAAAATTTGCATCAAACACCTTTTTTTTGTTTGCTATAACTCAGTGTGTGAATTGTGAACGTAACACTTTTATGCACTTTTGTTCGCTGATGAAATTTCTCTTGCTTTGTGTCGTATTTACTTTGAGCAATTTAAAACGTAAAAGTAATGTCRCTGTTTTAGGAAGTAATTGTTCATTAAATTAGTAAAATGCAACATGATATGTTTATTCAACTAAAAGAGCTAGAAACAGACGTGGTTGGTCCTCCACAGGACAGTCTACAGGGACCACAGGCCTTGTAATACTGTTTGAAGCCCTTTAGTGATGTTTTTTTGTTTATATTCAGGCAAAAAGTGCCTCTCTATTTTACAAGAGATGAACTGTTCCTGTTGCCATATCTTTAAAAAAAACTGCAGAACACAAAGTAAACTTAAAAACAATAGGAAGAAGATTAAATCAAATTAATTGTATTGTGTAAGAGTGAATAAAGAAGAAAAATGGGAGCAGTGCAGGAAGTCATTTTGAATGGGAGCAGGGTGGGAGTGGAAATCCACTCCTCTGACGCAGACGAGGCTTTTTTGGGACCATTTTATTACAGAGTATTACAGCATTGGGGCACTTGAAATAATAATAGTCACAGTTTGCTTTTTGTCTTTTATTTTTTAATTTCAGCACAAAATTAAATGTAACTTATAATGTTTGCTGCTCTCTTTTTTATTTTCTCATTTTTTAAGTTAAAAGTGTAATTAACCTTTGAGACTTCTGGGTTCCTTTTTGTATCTTTGGTGAGTTTTCTCTCAGATTTACTGTACTGGTTCTCTGCCTGGTTAGAGCAAAAACATATGAGCAGAGATAAAATGGTGTGTCCTGGTTTTGTCATCAGCCTCAGGAAGGAGAGAGGAAGGAAACTCTGAGCTCTCTGGAGACACACTGTGGTTCTACCTCACTCGAACCCTAACAACTGGTTTGGTCAGCCTGCAGGTTTCATGGTAATCTGGTTCATGTTGGAAGTGGAGTCAGATTACAAAGGAATAATACTGATTAAAGGCATGTAAGAACTGCTTTCTGCAATGCATCGAGACATGCCTTTAGTTTTCTAGGTAAAACCTGAGCTATCCTTTTTCACTCTTGTGTTATGGATACGTTTTAATTGAGAAAGTTGCACATGTTATACCATAAGGACCTCACAAAGATAAGTATCTAAATGTGACACACTTACAGCAGAAACAAGCTGCCTTGATAGAAAACAACTTTTTTCTGACATTGGAAGAACTAGAGTTGTCCTCTGTAAAGGTTTACAAGGTTTATTGTTGCCACTTTAGTCCAGGAAAAACACCACATTCCCATTTCAAGAACATATGGATGTCACTTGTGAAGGTGCTTAAATGAATGCCTACATGTTCAACACAGATAACTGGCCATAAGTTTATAAAAACCTAAGTTGTTTCAAGATGGTAGCAATCATTTTGGGAACTGGCTTTGCTCTGACAAGCCATCAGTGAAAACAGTCAGAGAAATCCCTTTTTTCCAGTATTACTCAACCTTGTTTTTTCATGCAGGCACAATGCTGTGAGTTTACCTCAGGATGGTTGGTTTGGAGTGTGTCTGGGCCGGTCCTTTCCTATCCTGGGCCTGAAGCGGATCCTTGGACACATCTTTACAAATGTTTCTGGCAGTAAATGTGAGCCACAGCATAGTTGACAGCGAAGCATAATGAAGCATGATGCCAACCTAACACAGGAGAAACAAACAAAAAAAAAAACATTAAAAATGAAACACATCCAAATATCCACTYGAATAAATCAAAAAACAATTAACATGGAAAAATCCTAAAATGATTGGATAACCAAGCTGTGGTAAAATATATATACACAATATACTGTATATACACGTATATATTGCTTTTGGTAGTTTGGCACGAAAGTGCCCGCTGCGAAGCAGGAGGAAAGGAGAGCGGAAAAAGTTCAAAACTTATTTCTAGCAGCAGAACAGGTTGGAAGATGGCTGTTTAATGTTATTTATTGTTTTTTAAATCATACAGGTTCTGACATGTTAGATCAATTTGAAAATGAGGTTTTGAAAAAATCCATAAGACTTAAAAAATCCATGAGATTGCTCTATATGTCCGTATACCTGCAAAATGACGTAAAATCCTTATAACTTACCGACAATCTATACAAGTTGACATGAATGCCCCACCTTCATTGAGCAGTGTTAGTAAAGTGCTGCGTTCCCTGCCTCAGCTGCCAGATAGTTTGCCAAAATGCCTTGAAGCTGATTGAGTGTCTTTGTCCAAGACCTCACCAAACTTCTCTCACATCTGAGATTTTACCTTGGCAACAGCCAGGGCTGTGGTCCGCTATGCCTTCTGATACTCCTCAACTGACTCTGGAATCCTACTGCCCAACAAGGCCCAATAGGTCTCATTCTTCAGTTTGACAGCCTCCCTAACCCGGGCTGTCCACCACTGATTTAGCAGATGGCCACTGTGAGAAGCATCGACAACCTTGCAACCACAGCTCAAAGCAGCCGCCTCAACAACTGAGGCACGAAACATGGCCCACTCAGACTCAATGCCCCCGGCTTGACTGGGATGTGATTGAAGTTCTCTTGGAGGTGTGAGTTGAAGATCTATTTGTTGGGTTCCTCTGCCAGATGTTCTCAGCCAACCCTCACTACACGTTTGGGTCTACGGAGTGTGTCCGGCATCTTCCCCCGCCATCTGAACCAACTCACTACCAGGTGGTGATCAGTTGACAGCTCAGCTCCTTTCTTCATCTGAGTGTCCAAAACATATGGTGGCAGATGGGTATTGAAATCCCCCAGCAGAATAAAGGGAATCCCCAGCTAGAGCACCTTCCATACTCCAAACAGCCATTTGCGTAGGCACAAATGACTGACAGAGCCCATCTCCCACCCAAAGATGCAGGGAAGCTACCCTCTTATCTATGGGGTAAACCCGAACACACAGGCACCAAGTTGTACCCACACCAGCTTAGTGCATCTCACCATGGGCAACTCCAGAGTAGAATGAGGCCCAGCCCCTCTCGAGGAGATTGTTTTTGGAGCCTATGGTGTGCTTTGAGGTGAGCCCAACTATACCTAGCTGGTACCTCTCAACTTCACACACATGCTCAGGCTCCTTCCCCACCAGAGAGGTGATCGATGTTCCAGGTCCCAAGAGCCAGCTTTGGTAGGCCAGGGTCAGAGCGCCAAGGTCCCTGCCTTTGGCTACTGCCCATGGCATCATGCACCTGACTTGTATAGCCCCTCCAGCAGGTGGTGGGCCCACAGGAAGGCAAACCCATGTAGCTTATTCGGGCTGAGCCTGACCGAGCCCCATGGGTAGAGACTCTGCCACCAGGTGCTCACCAATGGGTAAAAATGAATGAATAAATGCGAATCAGACGTGTTTCCATCAAATGGCTTGAAGCGAATCAGTTACATCAGATGCATGTGTGTAGTAAACAAGGAAATAAAATTCGTAAACTCACAGGGTCCACACAACTCAGGWTAATRGAGAGAAGTTATCAGGAACGTGTTGCTACTATCAGAAAGTTGTAATTATTCTGTCATTTCAACTAGTTTTGGCGATGTTACTGCTGTCTGCAGATGTAGAGAAAGAAATGCAGTTCTTTTCACGTTACGGGAATAACTGAGAAAACACTGACAGTGGGAGGAGGGTCCTCCTGCATTCACGGCTGCAGTCGCTCTGGTACCGGTACCAGACAGACTGCAGGAACAGCTGATCAACCATGTGAGGTAAATGTTCACTACATCAGAACTGATTCGAAAAACGTGTTTCCATCTCTCCTTTTGTGCATTAACTCTTTTTCAAAAAACTTTTATGCRAATTWGAGGAAGTTTTGTTGAATCTTGCTGTTTCCATTCACCTTTTCTGAAGTGATACTTCAAAATGCGCATTAAAAATCATTGATGGAAACACGGCTGTGATCCAGGTGTTTTACCTCCTCTGCAGTTCATTCCTGTCCTGCCTGCACCTGGATTGGCCATCAACAGGCAGACATATCTAAAGTATATGCAAAGATAAGGCCTTTCTGCTCTGATGAAGCAAAATTCATTACATGTCCAGAAAAAACAAAACGAAGATAGCTAGCTAGCTTTACTGAGAATGTCTTTTATGTGAAGTAGAATAACGTGTTGTTTTATCATTACTTTTGCCTTGGTAGCATTATTAATACAGGTCATTTATTAAGTGAAAAAGTAAGTAAAGTTTTATTTATATGGCGCCTTTCACAGAAATAAATTCACAAGGTGCTGTACATTCAGGGAAGTGGGGAGGGGACAGTTAAGACAGGTCATGCAGCAAACACAGTTGCGCTACCTTAACAACAGAACAACAGAAAAACTAAAAACCACACAAGGGAAGATGAGGAAAAAAAAAGCAAAAACATCATATAATATCAACACTGTGACACACTATGGTGTTTATGAAAAAAACCTCTGCATAGGGCAGATTATTCTCCAGAGGAGTAAGTGAGTTTAGCGGGGCCTGAAGAATCCAGTCCCCTAAACCAGCGCAGCCAAAGTTCAGAATATTGATGGAACTGTTCATTCTGTGTGGCCCTCAGCCAGCTCAGGAGCCAGATCAGACGGGTGAGAGAGGAGGGGGGAGRTGTGGGGCAGAGCCTCGTCGACAAAATCAATTCAGGAAGAATTTAGTCAACAGATCAAGGCCGTTGTCGGGGAGATCCAGATTCTGTAATCAGTTGTTTTGGGAACAGAAAGAGTCAGGCAGATGATAACAAATTTCCATCTGCTTAAATGTCTGCTGGTACATCTCAAGATGGTGAATCCAAACAGACAAATAATGTGGACAAATTCCACYGAGCTGATCCAYCAGCTTCTCCAAGATCAATTCCATCTGGCCAGCAAAGTCCAGGGACCACAGCCGGCCCGCGACCCTCAATAGAACCGCTTGCAGACAGAGTCCAGCTCGCTCAAGGAAAAATGTCAGAGTGCTGATAGAATACAGCCATCCCTCAAATAGATCAGTCAGCCAGGAGATGAAAAGCCACCGACACTGTTTTGTAGAACACCAGGAGACCACCAAGCCAATCTGTAGAACCCAGAGATCAGAGTCCAGATATATATCCAGAACAGAGAAGAACAGAGGTCCCACCTTTGACATGTCCTCCCATGGAAGATAAAACTTTGTTCAAAAAATTTTATTAAGAGACCAGCTAACCAAATCCATAAAAATAAAAATATCCATAATTTCTGGTTTTGGATGAAAAYGTAGAGAAGRCTCCRAGCAGCAMAGCAGGGAAGATAAGGAAGGGCAGGAGAGAAGGAAAAAGTGTYTTACTCCTCCGAGAGTGGAACAAAAAAAATTCAGCAAACATTGTCTGCAAACGTTCATGGTGATGCTCAGGGGGCATCTGAACTTTTAAAGGTAGCTGGGAAGCCACTACACAGAAGAGTACACAGATAATGATGGTGTGACATAGCCTTGAATGAAAACAGTGTGTACTTAATAATCAAATAATAATCATGATTGTGRTGTTGTAACACATCAAGCTGTCTTGTGAGTCTTTGTCGTGGAGTCGTCTGTTAAMACTGAGGGAGTGAAACCTCAGTTCAGGGTTCACAGATGACTCCWGGACAAACGCTCACAAGACAGAAGCTCACAGGCTTGTTGGGAAAAGGAACTGTTTCCCCMTAATCTTGTTTCCAAATTGCCAACATTAAAATGGCCATACCCTCTTCATATGTTTGATTTCCACATGTTTGACATTGTTGGGTAACAGCGTCCACACTTTCAGATTCTGTAAATAACTCAAAACGCCCTCGGGAAGTTTTGTTCCTGGTTAAATCATGCATCATAGCTGGCAGATCTGCCGAAACGCCCACTGCTGCTGTCCAGCACACAGGTGAGCAGAGCTGACTGWCCGGTGCAGAGAAGYAAGCTCTCATTTTTACTGTCTTAAAGAGAACTCAATCACATTAACTCTGAATTTTGTCAGTGTGCAATATTGTAATGCAGACTGCATCATTTGGACAAGGAGTCAGAAAGGGGAAAAAATCTGTAGCAGGTTTTCAACCCAAAAAAGGAAACAGAAACAGGATGAGAGTTTACTTGGATTTGTTCCACACAAACAGTCCTCATTTTTAAAGCTGTGGTGATAATGTTTTTTCTATTAACGTGGGCCAAATATATTTTTTGTCACACTGTTGCAGCAGAACGGAAGTAGAGCACAGTGACTTTAGACATGTCATGTTGTACAAATTGTGCRTTACCCAGATTTTTATTTTTTATTTTGCCTGCATACAGACGTACAGGGCAGTCTTATGGGTTTATTCAAAAACTTTACTTCAAATTAATTTAAGTCTCTGAGCCAGCAGACTGCAAGAAATTAAAGTTGCCTTCATGGACAGCTGAGACGGAGTTGTATATTTAATTTTGTTAAGCTGCTGTGCTGAAGTTATATATTTTATTTATAATAAAGTTGTATATTTAGCTACTGTCACACTGCAGAGCAGAGGGGATAATGTGTCTGAAGCTGTGCAGCCAGTTTGCACCTGCCTTCAAACTAAATATAGACGCTAAAACAGCAACCAGTTTCAAGGTTTGATGAAAATCACACTGCAGGTGTAAAATGATTATATCTGCTTAGCCTCTACCCAGTATTTTGAGTCTTCTGCTAACCTTCATATAATCTGCATATTCATGAAGGCAGACATGCTGGATGGGTTGTGGCTGCTGTTTTGGTCCTCTGTGTGCAGTCCTCGCTGCACACATTATCAAATCAGCTTTGTCTACACTATCAAATTTGCACATGGTTTTAAATGTAGTAAAGCAATTTGCACCTGCTTCGGATGTTATCATCCATGAAATGGACGTTATTAGGCGTTATCAGTCCCATAGAATGGCTTCCGATTGTCAGCTGGTTAAAATGAGGCATAAAAAATCTGGTTAATATGAGGCTTAAAGCCACCAAGGTTAACCTTAGAGCAGATGACATAGTTAGCACTAACCTCTGATGAACAAATATTGTAGCCTTTCAATAGGGCAATGGGTAGAGTGTCGGACCAGAGACCAGGGTTCGAGTCCGACACGGACACAAAAAAATTATTACTATATGTTTCGGTCATTTACACATTCATTGTCATTAATATATTAACCCACTAGGGGGAACTGTCGGGACAGTATGAAGCCTAGAAGGCACAGTAGGGACCCTCTGAAGCCATTGTATGGGACTGATAACACCTAATAACGTCCATTTCATGGACTGATAACATCAGAATCCCCTGGATTTTTTTGTTGTTTAGCTCTGATGAAGGGCTGTCATCATG